TATATCTTCAAATGTTTTCAGACTGAATGGATCAAATTCTGATAGTGAAATGAATCATTTCAAGGCAGAACAGTCTCACTCGGCGAAGTCCCTGAAATCCGGCACTTGGGTAATGACTTGCAACGTCAGAGAATGATGAAAAAGCCATCTTTAAATGTCGGCATTATATGTGTCCGGTCACCATTATAGTTAAATTGCGCTTGGCGGCATCAGGGGGAAGTGCAGTGGGACACAAACGAAAGTTAAGGCGATGAAAGTCCGAGTAGGGCAGATGGGAGGGGTGGTAGATGGGTACAAGAAGCACAGACTTTCACTCAGGAGAGCTGTGTTCGCATACCGTAAGGTTATCAAGCCAAACCCTCTTCTTTTTTCCTAAACCCAACCATGTGCGTTAGTTGTTGAAGACAACAAAAACGTCAATTCGCAGTGTTTTACTGATGTAGTGCGTTTATTTTGAAAGAGACTTAATGTAAACTTTAAATTTCCTGTGAAAACGGTGTATTTTGAAAGAGGACAATGCATGTAACAGGCAGAGCTTGACACAACGTCCCAGAACATCAACATCCAACACACCCAGGGTACCTTTCACGTCGTATCTGGATGTGGAAAGTCCATGACCAAACGTTGTTAAATGTTGAGGTCGAAGTGAGAATGTGTTGTTAGAGGGGGCTTGAAACGCTCAAAGAAATGTATCCACTCATTTACAGACATCTCTTTGTGAATATAAGTCTATAGGAAAAGTATTTCTGGGCCCAGTTGCATCATGTGACGGACTCGGGAGTTGTAATGCCACCTTTTGGCCTCTATGAAAATCAGCTTCAATTCCCAGTGCACTTCCTGGGGTCCTGAGCAAAGCATGCCATCAAACTTTTTACTAACAAAAATCATAAATATTGCTGTATTACATTTATCAGTCTGTTAGCTAATTTGTTTTTATGCTAACTTCCTGTGGCACAGTGCATACGCTCTGCTCTGAATCAATAGACCACTGGTTGACTCACATATGTACACAGAGCTATGTGGAAATGAGACATAAGCTAACCAGCTTATGGTTGTAGCTTGATATTTACTGTTGGCAACAAATATGAGTTCTACTCTAGATCCAGATCTTCACATCTAACTCTCATCAACAAACCAAATAAATGTGTTTCCCCAAATGTTGAACTGTTCCTTTAACACAGCAATATTTACAAAGGATTTTTTTCTACACGTGCAGTCACTCTCTCATTTGCTCTCCCACCACCCTCCCTTAATCCTTTAACGTGCAAACTTGAGTCATGGTTTATCTCCAGCCCAGGTCCGTTTGACAGACATTTACAGCGTGTGACCTCAGCCCTACAAAGTGAGTACATAAATCACCGGGCTGCTTTTACATGTTGCTCATGGAATGTCATCACCATCACAGGCTCTGTTGTGTCACGGACAAAAAGCCTGAGTTCACTGTTTGCTTTACTGGCCAGACTGAATCTGAAGTGTGTGCGTGAGAGAGAAAGATAAAGTGTGAGCGTGTTACATTCATTAACATCCATGTGCTGTAGGGGAGTACCATACCTTGAAGCAGTTTTTAAACTTCTTGCTGACAAAGTAGAGGATAATGGGGTTTATGCAGGAGTTGATTGTTACAAGGTTGATACTGAGGTGATCCAGGACCAACAGGAAACTGAAAATAGAAGAATCTGATTTTAATTATTTTTATAGAGCACCACAGAGCCTATTTAAATCCTTTTTTGGCATAGCATTGAATGTTAAACACTTCTGGCAGGATCTGCCTTGTTTCAGGTTTCAGTGCCATGTCGTGTACATGTGCATACTCTGTTTATGTTTAGGGTTTATTCTTCCAGTGACTCACTTGAACAGCTCACAGCGCTTTCTATCTTTTGGCCTGTAAAGCATCTTCTTCAGGATCCTGCTGAGGTGCAGTGGAAACCAGCACAGGGCGAAGATGAGGACGAGGCAGAACACGGCTTTGGCCACCTCCCTCCTCTGCAGAGAGATACAACAGATTTCATTCCACTGTTAGAGAGGAGATGACGAAGTTTGTGTAATGGAGGATTAGAGGTTAAAACCATGGAATAAACAGTGCTGACTGAGCCACTGTGGAGTCATCTCACTCCATGAAAACGTTGCGTTAGATGATGAAGCCACATCACAAATGTTCATGTGCTTGTAGTGAAATAAACCTGACATTATGTAGGTTTATTAAAGTTAGGGGCTTGTTACTGTATTAATATTTGTCCCACCTGTTTGAGGTGCTCACTGAGGGCAATGCGAAGGCTGCCGTTCCTGTGGTTGAGCATCTCGCAGGTCATCAGAGTGTAGAACACAGCGGTGCAGAGCAGCGGTACACAAAAGTAGAAGCCAAACAGCCACCAGTCCTTTGCTTTCGTATAGAACTGCAGCAAACAAACGTGAGACAGTAATGCACATTTAAACTAAAATAAATGCATGAATTATGGTGTGAACCTGTATGTAAAAAAGAGGGGTTGTAGTTTTTCAAGTCACAATTGATCTCTTCCACACACTTCCTCTGACCTGCCCCTTTTTACGGATGAATCTAAGACTTCCTGGGACAAAATACAACTTTCTGCTCATTTTTCTGTCGCTGTCCATTTTCTACCAATCGCTCCTGTTGGACCTCCATCTATCTGTAGAGGGAGGATCTCCCTTTAACTTTGGACAGCTGCTTTTGATGTGGGTTTTTAAAGTCCAAACGAAACATCATGTGTGATAATGTATTGTACTATAGAAGTAAAGCTGAAATTACTTTTCCCTGCATGGTACGACCCAAGTAATAGGGATCTGTGCTTGTGTAACTGAACCTTATCCAGACTACCCCTGTCTTGTGAGCCATCGCAGTCCATGTGAGTGCTACACACGTGTGCATCTGGCTCTCTGCGGTTCTTAAAAAAAATTGTAAGTATGTTCTGTAGAAATATCACAATTTCACAACCCTACAAACTTTTACTGGATCTAATTATGTCATTTCCATGACAGCAAAAAACTTTGCTGATGCACTCCAAACATTGGCCTTGTTAAGAATATATTTTAAACAAGAAAATATGCTGTTTCATTGTTAATAAATAATGCTGTTGAGAAGCTTATTTTGCTCAGACCTCAGCATTGCATTGCCGATATCTGAGAGAGGGATTACTCCAATTTTGTACATATGGAATAGATATGCACATGTGGCTCAGCTTGAGGCCCCAGATTTCAGGTCTCAGTAATTGCACTTGGCCTGCAATCAATTATGTGCTCCAAGGATGTGAAAAGGGCCACAATCACTGAGAGAGGGTAAGTAGACCAGGTTTATTTTTTAAAGCAATACTACACCAAAAATCACACACTGAAATGGCTAGAAAGGGGAATTTGGATGGAGTACATCTTAAAGGTCCAGTGTGTAGGATTAAGGGTAAAATGGAATTTGACTAAAATCATTGTGTTTTCGTTAGCTTAGAATGAGCCATTTATATCTACACAGGAGCGGGTCCTCATCAACAAAGTCCGCCATGTTGCACCAACATGTTTCTACAGTAGCCCAGAACAGACAAACCAAACGCTGGCTCCAGATAAGGCCATCACGTTTTTGTGTTTTCGCGTCAATCACTGTAGTTAGTGGCCCCTCCACGATTAGTGAGTCAAAGACACACTGATTTGTTACGTTAAACTGTTTCATTCAGTGTTTTTACTGGTTTTATCACCTGTTTGTTTTGGTTAGATAGACACCTCTGTGGATAATTTGGCTCCCAATAAAAACCTCCTAAACAATGAACACTGAAGGAACCCCAACCAGGAGAAGTTTCAGCTAGTTGCAATCTGCAATCATCACAACTAGAAGCCATTAAACACTCCTAAATCATACACACTGGACCTATAAGCATTAGTTTCTTGTGGATTTAATTATTTATTGCCCAAGCAGAAAATGTTGTAAGTGATTTATTATGCCTCCGGCACTGAGGCATTATGTTGTCAGGGTGTCCATCAGTCTGTGTGTACATATGTCCCGTTCTTGTGAACGCGGTGTCCAAATAAAAACCTTGGGGGAATTTCTTCAAATTTGGCACAAACGTCCACTTGGACTTAATGACGGTCGTATTAGATTATGGTGTTTAAAGGTCAAGGTCACAGTGACCTCACAAACATGTTTTTGGCCATAACTCAAAAATTCATACACTAATTATGACAAAATTTTACCCAAATGTCTAATAGAACAAAAAAAATGAAGTGATGGCATTTTATATACGAAAGGTCCCAGGTCAGATTCACTGTGACATCATAATATTCTGCAAAAACAGTTTCTTGGCCATTACTAAACACAATAATTCAGGAGCAGGAGGTCAGATACTGAATTGGTGATTCTAGACTCTACACTTTTAGAATATGTTGCTTCTTTGCAGCAACATCCATATGTGAAGCTTTGTCTACTGTCATAGCTACATGTGAGTCTGGACAGAGATAGTCTCGCCACCAGACAATCAGAGATCTCCGCCTCCTGATAGTCTGGGGACACTCCTTTCTAAAGTGTGTTTAACACACCGGCGAAAACGGCCGGCAACAAAGCAACGCCTCTTGCATTTTTGAAAAGGACATGCCTTCTCGGAAATGTGCGCTCCTCCTTTTCTCGTCCGCAAGGAAACAAACACACAGAGAGCTTGAAAATGGATGCCGAGAGATTTAACTCCGTTTTATCAAACGTGTGCTCATCCGTGAAGAAAATATTTTTTCCAGCGGATGTCTTAGTTACAACATTATTGAGCTAACTGGAGTAGTTTCATGTTGTATCCGACAACGGGAGGCTTTTAACAGATGACGTCCTGATGTTAACTTTGCTGCTGCTGTTAGCTGTCCCTGTTAGCTGCAGCCACTGATGCTTTCTAGACATCGTGATTTCCCAAAACTGAATAAATACCACACATAGCAACACAAAACTGCTTTGCTAGCTCAATCATGTAGTAACTAAGATATCCACTGGAAAAAATATTTTTTTCACGGACTGTTTAATGAGTTATTACCTATTACAGACACTGCTAACGGCTAAGAAATAGTAATGTTTGTTCAATCACTGTGTTTATAGACTTTACAAACATCGGATTAGTCCAAACGGTCATACAGTGATGTGAAAAATGTGATATATAAGCTATATATATAGCTAAAAGCTCTGCTGGTTTTCTACCCGGAAGTATTTGTAAACAACAAGGCGATTCCCTCTATAGTCCGGACGGATGAGTCATGGCCTTGTAAAAGATTATGTTTGTTTCTTTTAGTTGGCGAGAATGTGTCGCCACAAACGCGACAAACATCCACTAACTTTGACGCCATTTTCTGCGAGCGCGGCTGAGCCATTTTGTACCGCTACACGTGTTTCTAGTGGGACGTTGTTTACAAGCACAAGAGTTCAGCGAGCCACCGAAGGACCGCCCTGCAGATTTACTATTGGTTCTGCAAGGTAGGGAGTTTTTTTAAACTCTGAAATTGTATCCGCCCATCTAAACACAAAATCAGGGAGAAAGTCATCAGTCTTTAGTTAAGCAAAGCATCTAAAGACTGACTTGTGAGTCTAGGACAGAGATAAGTGTAAACTGTAACTGCAACTTGACTGGTTCGTGGAGGCACACAACTGTCTTGGCCTTAATACAAGCAAAACACTGGGACACAAAATTACTAAACAGCAATTTTTCTTATCCGAAAACGATAAGAAAATGGATGATAGCGTACCACCATGAAGTCAGACTTTGGGTTAAGCATGCAGGTGCGCATGGTTTCATTCTTGTAGGTGAAGGTGACCATGTCGAAAACAATAGCCTCCGGTACTGCCAGGATGAGCGACAGCCACCAAATAGTTACAATCTCCACGACTGTAAGCAGAGGGATGCCCACTCCCTGAACTCTGCTCCAGGATGCCACAGCTCTGTACCTGTGAGGGGCAGACACAGGAGTGAGGTCCAGGCATAACAGATGGATGAGACATATTAAATTGATTGGATTAAAGTAATATGATTAGGGGATAGTGAGTTACTGCAGCAGGAATGATTATGATACAGCACTCCTGGGACACAAATTTTCTAAATGAAATTAAAAAGTAAAGAGTGTAACACAATTACTATGCTATGAAAAAAAGCCTATTTATTAATTGAAATAGGGCTGCAGGAGTTCAGTTGTTCTCAGTCACCGCTCCATCATTAAATAGAAATCAGTAAAGTCATCGTTTTCTTTGTCTCTCCTGACTGACAAAGCTAACAATGTTTTCTCTATGCATGGCAGCACACCAAACACAACAAACTGCTCAGTCAGCAAAGAATATCAAAATGTTAAGAATTAATGAGGAGAGATGATCAATTGTTTATTTTAAATATCTAATATTTATATTTTTGTGAAGCCTCCAAACAGACTGGCCCATGTTGGCAGAGAGGTCTGTCTGTTGGCTTGTGTTTCCCGTGCACTGAATACTTGTTTGCTTGTTTGTTTCATTAATGGAAACCACTTGTCGAAATGTTTTAGTAAAACCCTGCATCAAGATTTTATGGCAAAAACAATATATTTTTCATGACACATTTGAATTTCTCTGTTGAACAACATGGCGGCATTTATATTTCACTAAGTGGTAATGTATCCACCTTTTTCTCTTCCTCCAACATTGGAAGGATACAAAAGAGACCCGGGTACTTTCATAATACATACACACAGAAATATGCTACACATTTCCTGGAAACAAACGGTGAGCATCTGCTCTTGAACACAACTCTACAGCACTGCAGTCTTTTTAGAGGTCATTAAAAATGTCTGCCTGGTTGAACCTTGGAGCCTACAGTGTTCAGAGCAGGCAGGCGAGCCTCTTATCTCCAAAGTTGTGTCTGGTGCACAAAGTGAGATGAGACTGAGCTCCAGCACTTCACACTCATCATTTATTCATTGGGGAATTTCTATTAAGGTTCTATTAAAAAAGAAGTTGTCAGGATACTTGCTATCAAGGTAATGTTTTTAATATTAACATTACACTGAGAGTTTACAGTGCATATATCACTTATACACTTAATGGTGCATACAAAATAAATGACTGTTATAATTCCATTAGAGAAGTAAAGAGCATCTCTTAAAACAGCACACCACACAAGTTTTGAGCACCAAGGCAACAAACAGAGGAGCAGAGAGATAAATAACATCCCAGTGAGGATGCACAATAAGTATCGACCTTTCCCAAAAGTGATCGTCACCTCAGCTAATCAGATCTGCTTGTCATTAAACTGCAAACAAATAAAAAATATTCATATCTTTTTGTCTTAACTCATCTCTGCAACTCATAATCACCAAAATCATATTAGAAAACATCTAAGACAAATTAATTTAAAGCAATGCTCTCTTATTCTGAGTAGGGATGAGTGAACTGGCCACATTAACTTTGTTTAATTTCCTTTTTCCAGTGATTTTGAATGCCTCTTCAAATTTTGTGCAACAGCATCTGTTTTTTTGAGCTATGAAAAAACATATCTGGAACATTCAGGCTTCATGTTGGCTTCACAACACTGTGTAAAATCGCAGGAAAGTTGCTGCTTTTCATATGTTTCTAAAAACACAAACCTCTTTTATGAGAATGAGAAACAAGTCCAAAAACATTCAGAGAGAAATTAATTTCCTAAAACCTAATTTAACATTCATGTTTAATGGAACGCCACCTCATAAAATCTATTGTGGATGAACTGGCAAGGTGAGTCATCCAAATTAAAATTGTTTAATTTCTTTTTTCCAATGATTTTGACTGCCTCCTCAAAATTTCTGCAACAGCATCTGCTTTTTCACCTATGAAAAAAGATATTTGGAACATTCAGGCCTCAATCTGGCTTTACAAGATAATGTCACCTTACAGGAAAGTTGCTGCTTTTCATATGTTTCTAAAAACACAAAAAAAAAAACCCTTAATGAGAATGAGAAATAAGTTCAATAAGTTTGGTTTCAGAGAGAAATTAATCTCCTAAAACCTAATTGAACTTTCATGTTGTAATGTAACGCCACATCATAAACATGCACAAAACCTATTGTGGATGAACTGGCATGGCGAGTCGTCCAAATTAAAATTGTTTAATTCCTTTTTTCCAGTGATTTGACTGCCTCCTCAAAATTTCTGCAACAGCATCTGCTTTGAAAAAGGGTTATCTGAAACATTCAGCTGTCAAGCTGGCTTCACAAGAGCATGTAACCTTACATGAAAGTTCTTGCTTTTCATATGTTTCTATGGAATGATATAAACACAATAAAACCTTCTTTATGAGGATGAGAAAACAAGCCAAAAAAAAAGAGTGGATTATTCTGGTAAAATCTACTTTAACATTCCTGCTTAATTGAACTCAGCATCATAAACATATGCACACAACCTGTCATGATAAAAATACTTGTGTTTCACTTATTTCAGCACACACATGAGCAGGATTTTTGCTTTAGTTTTTTGCTGGCCCACCAAAACTGACCTTCACATGCCACAGCTCTCGATGTGACGTAAAAACGCAGTGTGGAGAGTGGAAGCACTGACCTGTCCACGCTGAGGGCACACAGGTTGAGAACAGTGATGCCCACAGAGGCTTTCTGCAGGAAGGGGAACAGCTTACACAGACACAGGCCAACAACACTGTTGTGAAACGGAAAGCCTGACGCCAGGAGCTTTAAAAAGAAAACAAAGAAAGAAAGCACATACAGTAAGTGTGACAAAAACACTTATCTAACAGCAGTTAAATCACATTTGTAAGAACATTTATTTGACAACATTCACATCAATATAATTTGTCACTGAATCACAGTTTGGCTTTGCTAACGTTAATAAAATATTCTGTCTTTTACAACTCTTAAGGGACTATTAATCTCAGCTCTGTTGCTGGATTCACGCTGACCATCGTTAATATCTATTTAAGGCAATTTCCATGCAGATGGAGGCACATCAAAGACCTCTCAACGTCATCTTTAACGTCAGAGTGATTTAAGTCTGACACGGACCATATGGAGCCCATCAGCTGATAAAACTTTGCGCAACTTTTGCAAAACTTTCACATCTCCTGCAAACACATGGATGTAGTTTTTTAGATTTGAATCGTTCGAATAGTTCCGTTGTGAATTTGTGACTTTTCTGCAGCAATTTATGGTGTAAATGTCTTTGATTTTGCCAAAATAAAAGTCCTGTGCAACTTTAATGTTTTTATTAGGGAGGAACAAATGCACATCTTCTAAATATTGAGCCTGACGTGTCCCCTGCATCCCTCCTGAAATACAGTACATGTGCAAACACACAGCCTCTCAAGACGTAGAACCAAACTTCAATGATAATTTACTGTGTTGTCACTAGTAACTCAGAGCCACTTCCACAACCTCTTCTAATATTACTTCCCTTGAGAAAATAAGTCAAGGCCATGCAAGCTGAGACCTTTGTTTCCATCAAAGTGGTCTTGGCAGCATTTTTCCTTCAATACGACATGACCTGCGTTAAACACGTTTCCCAAAGCTGAAGCCACAGGAAGAACTTCACAGCGCTTCCTGGCCCTCTATTGTTTTTACTTGTGCCGTTTAAGTTTCCCAGGAGCCGCAGAAGAGCAGCAGGGAGGAAAGGAGCCCACACCACTGTTTTCAGCATACAAGTGGCTGATTATTTTTGGAAACACTGTCCCAGCCCCGGGGAAGTGAACATGGGGCTTCAACATGGTTTCAACACTGTAGACGTGGCTCTTGTCTTTGTTTGTGCATAAACTGTTCCCCCGCTAAGATATTTGTGTCTTTCTTGCACATGTGTTGCTCAGACCACAGAGTCGCTGTCCCCTCAAAGTCCCAAGTTAATTCTAACCAGGTGGCTTTCTCATTTGCCGTCCCATAATGCACTGGAGAGATCAAGTTGACTGATGACCCCATTTTGCCATCATTCTTGGTTATTATACAAAGGGTGACACTATTTATTGGTATAAATCAAGCCAAGACAGGAGCCCCAATTTATCATCATTAAACACTTCATATTCCAAAGGCACAATCCAAAGTTGAAAAGTAAACAAAATTGTTGTGAGACACCAAAAATGAAATCACAAAAATAAAATCAGTTATTGCTCTCTCGAATCCCCTGATAATTATTACACAGACGCTGTTACAGGTTTGTTTACATCAGTAATGTTAAAACTAAGCTGACACTGATTCTATTTACACTACATTATTAGTTAAACTTTTGAACCTCACTTTTATTTAGATAAAACATTACAGATGGGGCTTTAATGAAGAACTGGGTTCAAAACTCCACAATTGATTTATCAGGGTTGGTTTTTTTTTTTCTTTTCTTTTTCTTTTTTTTGTTAAACCTCTAGATAAGGGACATTGACTAATGTCCGAGGTCAATGCATGGCCCCTGACATGTGTGACTACAGCCTGATTCCCATGTTTATTTAAGCCAGCCATATCCATGCTCCTCTCATCACTAATCTGCCCACACGAGGGAGATAATGGCGTCCGACTGATTACACTTTCCCGTCTATTTGCACACTCCCCCTCCCCCCTTTTTCCCGTCTGTACTATTCCACTCTGTCTCTGCGTATCACCTCCATTGTTGCTGCATTTCATCATATCAACACAGAGACCTGTCAATAGGGTCAAGACTTTAATGAAAGCATGCACCAACAGAGTGAAAACTGTACCTTGTATACATTGATGGGTATATCGACGATTATGTAGATAAGGTCCCCCAGTGCCAGACTAGCAATGAGGGCGTTCGGCCCGTTCCTCATGCACTTGTGCTGGTATATAATCCTCAGCAGGGTGGCGTTGCCGACAATGCCGATCACAAACACATGGATGGATATGATGGTGTTGATGTACTTGAAATAGTCGTTAACGGAGGTAGATTTTTCACACATTGGAGACGGTATGGGCGTCTCTGTGACAGTTTCATTCCCAGAACTTACAGTTTGCACATCAGCGAGGCCGGGCCCCGTGCTGGGATTGATGGTGCTGTAGAAACCTGGAGACTGGCGTGTGGAGTGGACGAGGGAGCCTGGGAGAGAAGCCTCCTCTGTTTCGGCTCTGTTTATCTGGCACATTCCTCTGGCTGCCATACAGGCCATTAGCACCAACATATGCACAGCTGGGGTGCCCATTATGGAGCACATTTGGCGCTTTGATTTCACTGATTGAAAGACTGTCCCAGTATATCACTGGTGAGAGAAGAAATCAAAAAAACAAGAGGAAAATTTGGTTATTTTTCAGACAAAACATTTTCACTTGTCCTGTGTTTTGCCCCTACTTAAAAATCTAACCAAATTGGAGTAATATACGTCAGCTAAACAGCATCACTGTCCTTTCAAAAAGTGGTGAGGAAGTTTAACAACTCCTTCAAGACTTCAAAAAGGTTTTGCCAAGGGGGCACAGATGGGAGATGCCAGGACTAGTTAGAGTCAGACAGTTCAGGAGGAGGCATCAGCAGAGTGCGTTGGGCATCTTGTTTGCTCTCAGTCGTCCCTGACAGAGGGAGCTGTCTGTTATATGGCTTTGTGTCAATAATGTTGCAGCCGCACAGTGAAGCTTCATATGCTGTTTTCACAATGAGCCCCTTGCGTGGGTTTGTAACTGAATGATTTCCTCAGTTTTGCATTCTCCCTCTGTTTCTAATTTAGAAGGGTTTAAACATGTGGTCACAAAACAAAGAGCTTTTTTTTTACATGACAGAAGTGCTGCAGGGCTGATTTCCAGACAAAGTTTTAAATGCAAGCGTAAAAGGTTAAAATATAAATCAGGTGAAGATCAGAAAATACACACTATAGTTACACCTTGGATTTTCTTCTCAATCTTTTGATTCTTGACGTAGTGTATTGTTGTGAATTTAGAGGTATCTTCACCTTTACTGCCTACTTCCCTGGACGAAATCAGAGTAATTCACTCCACAAAACTCCCGGTAAACAGCAGATAAAGTTTCAAACTGTCAGATCGATAGTGAAGCCCTTTTCATCATGTCACAGCACCGGCAACTCTTATAGCCCAGAGTTCTTCCTGTTCAAAGTCCCAGCTGTCACCAAGTACACAAAGAACTATTTAGCAGCCAGCCCTTCAAGTAGCATCACAGTTTAGCATCAGCATGACACTGCTGGGATCTGTGACAGCACGCAAACTGATCTATCCATAAATAATAAATACATTTGGTTTTCACCTACCGCTTCTAAAATGTCTGCCTGGCCCCCTTGGAAACCGTCAGGCAAACTTTCGGCTGAAGCCCCCAGACATCTGTATCACATCACATGAGTAATTAACGCACTATCAAAGCCGCAGCGTATCCCACTTGGTTTGAGCAATGCACCCGTCTGCTCTGAGGTGCCTTCGCATTATGGCTCAGAGTTTCCTGTGGAGAGTTTGCAGTATGTCTGAGTGTGTGTGGTTGTGTGCGTGTACGTGTGAGGTTGTGTGTATCTCTACATGTGTGTGTGTATCAGAGCACCAGTGAGACACTTTGACTGGGTGGGATAGTAAATCTCCACCTCCCTTTGGTAACAGACTGGGCCCCCTTTGGAAACTTACCCCCCACACCCCTCCTTCTCCTCTCTCTCAGAGGCACCGCCTGCTGACAGTCATCTCCAAGGCACAGACACACACACACACACACACACACACACACACACACACACACATGCAGACACAGGGTGCAAGGACATCTGGGAGCCCAACGCCCCTCCAATCTGCCCCCTTTCTTCAATCCCTCCTACCTTCTCTTTCAATCCCTCTCTGACTCACATTATGTCTTGTATACGTTACATGCAACTGTTTCCTCACACGAGAGGCAGCAGAGATTAGATGGGAGGCACGGGGAAGTCAGTGTCCATGTTGTGATGTTGTGTTTCCCTCATTTGAGAGGGGCGGGAAACTAAGACGGGAAGTGGGAGCTAACCATCAGCCTGCCTTTACTTTTACAGAGTAACTGTTGCGTGGGTGACCGGACCACATCACACCTTCTCATAATGCAGTGTTGTAATAAAGTTTTATATTAGCTGTAAAAGGTAGATAATCACTGTGTGGTTAAGTGTAAGGTGGGGAAAAAGGGGTGAAGTCTAAGTAAGTGTTGCCTTCAATTACCAAACATCTAAATTACAAAATGAGAAAAACATAGAAAATCCAATCAATTGTTTTCCCTCACATGCAGAAAAAAACAAACAACACAAACAGACAGCGCTCTGTGAGATGACTTAATGCCTGAACAAGAGAAGACAGTTCAATGTCAAGAGAGAAGAGTGCTCCTACATCACTGTCCATTATGGATTCCAAAATGGACCATTTATCGTGAAGTGCGCTGAGAGCAGGAAGAGGGCTATCAGCGTCACCACGATCAGTCTGTCCCACTGCCAAAGAGCTGACACAGCAACTGCTTAAAGGGAAAAACCACTCAATTAAAAAAAAAAGGTTATTACTCTTGCCTGATGTAATTTGGTTCATATTTGTTAAAACGGCAGTTCTTTACTGTAGACATTAAACAAAACACATAGATTAATATGTGTAAAACCTTAATGTGATCCTCTGATTGATTGATTTTGTGAGTTTGTGTTTTTTGTGGGATTTGCTTTTTCATCAGAATTTAATAAAGTTAAGCTTAAATTGTATTTAATTTCAAAATATATTTATTTAAAAAAATACAATGTTACGTACAGAAATGTAATGTTATTAATCTGATGTATCATTTAATCATGACAATATAATAATATCTACACACCACAGCAGAGAGTAGAGTTATGTACCAGATCAGAAATGCATCCTCACTGAATCACTGTCTGATGAAAGAAAGGGAAATCAGGGTAAAGACATGCACACATAGTACACACACATACACAAATATAAACACACTCTAATTGACTGTGTCCCTGCGACCAGTGTCAAAAGGTTTTGGTGTGTTTCCACCAGTGTTTCCAATTATTTCACTTAGATCTGCTGCCCCATCATCAGGGTTACATTGTATGTCAGTGCGTTCCAAAACCTATATGACCATTACAAAATAATTCATATCACAGTTTTCTCATTTGCTGTGGCAAGGTTTGGTTAGGGTTAGGGCTCTGACTCCAAGCTGACGGTTGGCCATTAGTCAATGTTAGGCCATCAGTGAGCATCTGTCACCCTAGTTTTTGAGATATGTCCTGTGCTATTGGCAATAGTCAGCCCTTGTCGACCCTTTGCATTTGTTTTCTCTAAAGATTCAGCATGTTGACACGTTGTCAGAGATGACAAAGCCTGTCGGTGAATGATTTGGCAATTTAGCTCAGTGCACAAGAAGAAAAACAAAAGTAAGGAATGCAAACAAAAGTCTAAAGTCAAGAGGGCGTAAGATCGAAACAAACTTGTTATATAAGGTAAGAGTTTTTTATCTTCTAGCCATTGAGCTCTTTAGCAGAAGCTGTTTGTAATTGTTTGTGTTATTGTTTGTTAGTGCACAGTAAATGTCCTTTGTTCTTTCAACATCGGGTTGTGCTTTTAATGTGCTAACTGGCTAAATGGCATCTTAAATCCGTCCTGCTGGTCCCCTAACCCTAACCCTACAGGTGCAGAATGTACATGCTGGTTGGCTGTTGGCTGTGGTCTTTGCGATGTGTTCATGTGTAACTTTCTGGCTGAGACACAGGTGATGCATCAGCTTGCCTTCATTGGCATTAGTTCTTTGATGTTGGTTTGATGTGTCTGGGCCTTTCCAAACAAAAGTGAATTGGTTAAGGTCAGGGATTAATTAAATGATAATGTGAAGAAACTATGAATACTGTTGTTCTTATCTGGTGAGTTTTTTTTTCCTTTTAACCATGTTATGCAAGTACTTTTATATAAAGCTTTTTAATGCAAATATACTGTATTTTGTAATGAAGGGTTTGCAAAGGTAATGTAGCTTGAACCTCAATTACATGAACCAGCAGGAACTATCTTGTTATTTTGCCATCGTGCCTCTCAAAACTTAGAGGAAACATGTTGTAAAATAGAAATAATTTCTAGATTCTATGTATATCATGCATTAAATTCATATTAAATGTAACAATTATATGAAATATTTCCTATAAAACAGTGCCTTGCCTAAAGGTGAGTTCTTTTCTAACTTTGAATAAAACTTTTATGCTTCCTCCCACAACATGTAGGTTCAGTGTTTATGGTTCATTTGCAGGTAATTTTCCTACAGTCAAATAGTGACTTAATTGGGTAATGCCAATATTTACAGCCATTTAAAATTAAAGGGATCGTGTTTTCTTTAATTGTAGTCATGAATTTATCATGGCTTCTGAATTAGTTATGGTCAGCAGTGGCGAATATTTAATTTATTGGAACGTGATTTGCTGACGGCATCTGATTTCTTAACAACCCCACCAGCCCCCCCACCCCCCCTTTTTTTTTCCAAAGTCCCTTGATTGTTGGCAGCTTCTATGACATTTTAACTTTTGAGGGGGTAGTGGAGGCTTTGTTAGTAAATCCATTAATATATAAATGATGAAACCTTTACCTGCTCCCAGTTGCTTTGGCTTTCATGTTGTTGTTGTGTTGTTGTTTGGATCGTAATCAGGTATTAATGCCATTCTGTCTGAACTCAAAGATGGCAGGCTGCCTGGTAATTCATATGCTTGTTCTCTGATGGCATCTGTCGAAGTGTGCTCTCTGCATATTGGTACATACCCTATGGGAAATTTCAATCCAGCCCCAGACTGAGTGGGATGTAAGCAATTTCTTAACTGGGACACTTGCGCAAAAACAGAAAGAACAGAGAGAGAGACAGAGATAGATACAGGGAGAGAGAGAGGGAGAGAATAAGTTTGAGGCCAATTCTACTGTGACAAGCAGTGACAGAGGGAAGAGGGTTCAGTATACTGCCTGGCTTTATTAATTTGGGACATATGCTCCTCACAAACAAAAAGTTGCAGCACAAGAGAAAAAGAAAATGTGAATCTTGATGGATTTTCATAATAGCCTGATTAGTGCCAGCACTTGACTTCATCTGAAATTAATCAATATAATATTAACAGACTATCTTAATTAGGGGGAGGGAAGCTTTGTCAAAGCAGCGATGATGATATCAGATGAAAAGAGCCTGTGGAGGAGTCTGCGCTCTCGAGAAAAATGTGGCTGTTGTAAAGTTCCTGCAACTTTCTTCTCAATGGCCTCGAGTTATCTGAAGGTGCATGGTTTATGGCAACTGACAGGAGGCTATCTTTGGTACAACTTAACTGTGATAAGTCTGCAGAAACAGCTAATATGGGGCTTCTGGAGCTCTCAGCTGGTTATCTTTGGAACTTTGTACTCATCAATACCATACACCCTAAAAATGAATGCATAAAAACAATCAAAATTGTCTCCAGTTATAATTTTTCCTGTCTTTTCTCTTCTCATTACACATAAAAGGTTTGCTTGAGCTGCAATACAAGGTCAGTGCTGGCAATGTACATCATGTCATTGCTGTGTCAGACTTGCATTTACTCAGATGAAAACAGAAAGCATGCTCACTGAAAACAAAGATCACAATAGGTTTTTATCCAGAGCACAAACAAGCCACTTCAGCAGCCATTCAAAGTCCAGGTAGGGAAAAACAAATGTTATAATAAATAAATGTAATAAATGTTCTGAGTTTGTCTCACCATGGAAAATGTGTTATTAAACACCTAGCTAAATTTTAATGATTAAAAAAATCGCCAAATATATAATATTAGGTTTCAAAATTGTTGAAATCCGCTGAAGGAGCTGAAACAAAGAATGAGCCGCTGTGAAGCATCTGAGTCCCGTTAGCAGCTTACCCAGTAGCACAGAAACATAAACACCCAAGTCAAAGAACAAGCCGCCACACAACGAGGGACTCTTGTTATCAGCTAACCCAGTAGCACAGAAACAAACGCACCTCAAGCCAAAGAACAAGCCGCCATGCGTTGACGGACTCTCATCAGCAGCTAACCCTGTAGTACAGTAACATACACAGCCCAAGAACAAGCCCCAGTGCAGCGACAGACTCTCGTTCGCAGCTAACTCAGTAGCACAGAAGTATATACCCCAAGCTGAAGAGTACAGTAACATACACACCCCAAGAACAAGCCCCAGTGCAATGACATATTCTTGTTAGCAGCTAACCCAGTATCACAGAAACATACACAGCCTAAGCCCAAGAACAAGCCATGATGCAGTGACAGACTCTTGTTAGCAGCTAACTCAGTAGCACAGAAACATACACACCCCAAGGCCAAGAACGAGTTACCATGCAGCTACACACTCTCGTTAGCAGCTAACTCACACAGAAACATACACACCCCGAGCCGAAGAACGAGCCATCATGCAGTGACAGACTCTCGTCAGCAGCTAACCCAGTAGCACAGAAACATACACACCCCAAGGCCAAGAACGAGTTACCATGCAGCTACAGACTCTCGTTAGCAGCTAACTCAATAGCACAGAAACATACACACCCCGAGCCGAAGAG